TGGCTGGCTGGCCAGGATCCAACCATTGCGCTGAGCGCTTTCGATTATCGTAAAGAATCCATTTTTCATCACAGGTAATGATTCGGTTTAAAATACCTTCATTATTGTGCCGGTTCAGTATTGTAACGCAGCAGTCGACGCGCGTTTGCCGGTTTGCTTCAGTCAATTCGTGAGGTACCCATCTTTCAAGTTTTTTAATCTTCCCAATTTGCTTCAAGTGAATTAAAACAGTTTTATCACTAACACCGCAGCCTGCAGCTAACTCGGACGTGGTTTGCGATGGATCCGCTTCCACAATAGCCTTCAATACTTCATTATCAACTTGGGTCTCAGGCCGTCCACGGGGCTTGTTCTGCAGGTTGAAATTTCCAGAACGAAAACGTTGGAACCAAAAACGAACTGTGTTTTCTTTTGCAACATGACCGCCATACACATCATTCACCCTTCGAGTCGTTTCCGCAGCACTAGTGCCACGGCGGAACTCGTACTCGTAAATAATGCGATACTTTAAGTTTTCCACTTTGTAAAATGAGTGACGCAAACAGAAAAAAACAGAAGAAAAAAACAAATGAATGACGGTCATCGAAGCACAAATACATGAGTAAATAGCTGTTAAAATTTGAATTTGGAATTCCATACCAAAGAGGAGAACATCGTGATTAAAGTGGCCAGTACGAAATACGCCAATTTCATATGTAAGGACCTAATATTTTTACTATATACAAAAATCTCGACGAATATAAGAGTTAGATCGAGTATAGAAAAGTTCTAATATAATTCTCGTCTAACTAATATAGAACATTTAATAGTCTTACATTTGTGATATGATACGATTGTTTATCACAAATATTATTTTTTAATCATAGCTAAACTAGTGGAGATCGGTAAATAGTGATAATGCTATTCTAAACGGCACTAAAACCGAATGCAATATATACGAAAAATTAAAAAATATATATTCCTAGTAAAATGAGATTTATTATTTTCTTTATTAACCATACTTTGAAAACTTGGACATATGAAACCTTAAAACTAACAAATATTAAATCCTACACGCTGTATAGTGTATAATTCTATGGCATCAGATTTTTTGATGAATAGATGTATATTATAATATGAGGTAATATTTTTAATATCGTTATGTGAAAGCGTAGCAGGAAGCTGAACTGAAAGCAGTCTGTGGTTCATGCCGTATTTTAAATTTGGAAGTTTTTGTTTTCTATATGAATCTGAGTGCTTCGATTTGAATCTGAATTATTTTGTGTTCAGGTTACCCAATAACTTAGTGCCGTATAAACGTTTAGAACAAGTGCATTGACAATATTTTTTGTTTAGATCTGGATGGCTCATGATCCTGATGTACTGATACTCATCTATTTCTTTTTATTTACTTGATAATTTTACACAAAAATCTTTCAAAACTTCTTTACTTACAAATTAATTTTTTGCTATTATATTTTTTTATCTGGTATTATTGTTATAACATTCTTTATATTTTGTTGAGTCTGAGGCGCAAACTAACTGTTGTAGTCTCTGGCAGAATGACCAGTGCTGTAGAACACGTCTGCTCTTCAGTATAATCCTATCCAGTTACAACACACACACATTAACAAAATGTTTTGTTATTTTTATTTATTGTTTATTATAAAGTGTGTTTCGTTAATAATAAATGTTATGTTATGAAAAAATGCTCGGTCCCTTGAAATTCGTTATATAGAGTTTAATTAGATAAATAAAAAGTAGCAGACAGTGAGACAATATTGCATCTTATGTGAGCTTTCATTGTCAAAAAGCGTCGAATAAATAATAAACTTTAAAAGCTTTTTTTTAGTACACATTATTTACACCATGCACAATGTATAGACAGTACGATGAATAATTCATGGCCCTCGCTTTGTGGCCGGTAATTCAATTACGGCGGCTGTCCGGGAGGGAAATAACACAAGGCATTTTCTATTAAATTCGAAAATAACTAGACAGTCACAAAGTTTTGATTAAGATAAGTATAAATAGAATTCATCTTACGCCTTACACAATTATTGAAATTACATTAATGCCCAGTTCATCACATGAAAACGCCTGGATCGTGAACCAACCTTCTGTGCCCGACATTCACCGTTGATGTTGAAGTGTCACCGTTGATGAAGAAGTAGGGCCCCTCATGAAATATCATAATAATAATAACAAGGTAATAGGTCATTGTATCATATTATATCCTTCACCGTTTGAGAAAGTAAATGTAGAAAATCCATTCTTTCTTTCTATGTGCGCATTTAACATTTGCTCGAACGGTGAAGGAAAACATCGTGAGGAAACCGACATGTCTTAGACCCAAAAAGTCGACGGCGTGTGTCAGGCACTGGAGGCTGATCACCTACTCGACTACGAAACAGATTCAGAAATCTGAGGCCAAGACCTAAAGGTTGTAGCGCCACTTTTTTTTGTCTCACTATTTAATCACGTCACATTTAATAATTATCTCATAAATTTGGATACTAAAAGTTAACTATAAACGTTAAATAAACATTAAATACACTTGCGAGCGTTCCCCAAAACTCAATATAGGACATGACCGCTGAATGCGAAATAAAAGTTGCCATTAGCTCTCTTAGCTAAGTTTTTGTGGTTTGTAACATGTTGCCAAAACAAGAAGAACATTACATACAGATTTTATCTGGAAACGTGTTTATTAGAATTGTTTAAAATGTGTTACAATGCAAGTGCGCTATCGCTTTTGATTCTAATTTTATTTCCAACTTTTAAAACAGTTACAATTATTCACATATTATTATTACTAAAGTCAAAATCATTTATTCATTTAGGTAACACAATGTACACTTATGAACGTCAATAAAGAAATACATATTAAATGCTAAATGCTTCTAATTTTACATTTACTGCCAGTTCTGAAATCAGGGCCGTAGAACGGACGAGAAGAACTGGCAATAAACTCTCCGCCACTGTTTTTAATCGCCAAGTTTTTTGTTTTATATAATGTTTGTAAGGAGCTGCAACCATGACACCATGTTCCACATGACATCATAGGTAATTAATAATAAAAAAATCAAAAACAAAGATTTGTCCTCTATCAGCAGTAGGCATGGTGCAATGGGAACACACACTTACATTCTCGTCAGAACAACACGCAACACTAACACTACACTATTCCACTTACATAGCTGAATAAATTACTATTTAACATACTCACTCAATCCCTGGTGTCTTAAGTGGTAGATCACACACAAGATATTAAGATACATATCACACACAAACTGATTCAGACATATAAGAGCACTGACATTCAACCGTTCTCAGAGTCGTTACTTTAATCTCTTACTCTCACTATAAATAAATTACTGCCGTGAAAGCACGCATCTCCTCCAAAAACTAATTAAAATTATCTAACTAAAGAACTGCTAATCTGGCGCCGTGGTACAGTTGCAGATGAGGCAAAGAGAGCCGGAAAGACTTGGAGCGAGGTGAAATACGAGGCTCAAGACCGAACGCGATGGAGCCTCACTATGGACGCCCTCTGAACCATCTAGGGGTTTTAGGGTTATTAAGTAAAGTAAGTAACTAAGAAACGGTGTAAATAAGATTATAAAGTTTACGGTGAATATAAAGAAGCATACAACCGTTTTAAGTTTTAAGACTGATAGACCAAAAAGAAAGAAAGTTTAGACCGTAAATCCATAAATCAGAAAACGAGTTGACCCTTTTCGTTTTAATGATTAATTCTAGTCTGTGACAGTTCGATCCCGACTGCCAGTTTGACTCACAACCTCAAGCAGTTAAGGGGTGAATAATAGACCCTAGACCAAAGGAAAAACAATTACTGTGCTGATTAATTTGTATGAAATATAAGTATGAACCAACACTGATAGAATAAAAATAAATGTTTCTATAGTGCATAGATTTGGGTACAACATAATTCTCCGGATGACTACGAATATGTATTGTAACAAAATGTTCTGTTGCATGAAGTTATTAAGTATTTTAATTTTTCATTTACTAACTAGTGAAATGTAAGGCGTCTTTTTGCATTAATTATTAAGGCAACCAAATTGGATGACAAAATAAGTTTTAATTTGAAAGGGTCTGTCGCCTAATTTTCAAGTGTTTAAATGTTTAGGTTTAACCAAATTTAAATGAAATTTATTTCACTAACTTCAGTAGCCGTCTCACGCTAACCTTTTTCGAAAAGCACTCTAAACCTCAAATAATATAATAAATGTCACTTAAAGAGGCTTTATATAAATGTGTAAAAGTCGCGTAAATCATAGACATTATTACAAATGTAATTGATTTCCTATTAAATTATTTTCCTGTTTGCTAGTTATTTTCATGTGTGCACATGATATTGCTCTTGGACTTAAGACGTCACTACAAGGCACGGCCTAGCTATAAACAAATCTTAATCATATTATATATTTAACAAATAGAATCGAAAATTTTATCGTAATGACGTCAATGATAGTTACTAATGCGATAGAAAAGTTTATCAATTTCGCAATGATTGCCAGATGCAAAAAAAAATATTGTTCAATCATAATTAAATTTAAGATTATAAAATGACTGTTCAGTTTTTTTTCAATCAAACCTAATGTTGTTAAAAGGGTATGTGCCATGGAATTTGTTATTGAACAACTTAAAATATTGCAAACAAAAATATTGCACTGGCCTTCAAATTTTTTTTTAGTTAAAGCAAAACAACTTTTATGGTCTAAAATTTTATTTTTAATTTAAAGCAGCTCCTAAATTTGAATTTTGTAAATAATTATTATCAAGTAAAATCGAGTCTGCCAATCGACAAATTTCCCTAACATCGGGTAAATTATTAAATGCTGTCTTTGCTGATGGTACTACTGATAGGGCTATTTTTATAGCGGGATCCCTTAATTTGTCAACAGTTTCTCGTCTAGCAACTGAGCCTAGTTGACATATCAACTTAAATTGAATTTATATAAGAATATTGCTTTAATAAAATACAGTTATTTAAAATGAGAAGTAAGTATTAAAAAAAAGTGATGTTTTTTTTTATCTTTAATTTTTTTGTAATTTATTTATGATTTTAATTATAATAAATTATTTATTATGTATAATTTTTATAACGATATTGTTTCGTTGTATTTAAATTAGCGATGAATCCATCTAAATTCATAAAATAATAACTTACATAAAAATTAAAAGTCAACAAAAATTTAGTTTCGTAATTTTTTGTTTAAATTCAAAATTTCTATTACAATTTAAATTAAAAAATATTTGTTCAGTCCTCGGAATAAAGAACGCGAAAATCGATGACACCACCTTAGACGTGCATTTTGAAAATGATATGGTTGTATGTTTTGAAGATTGCTGGCTAAGAGACCATTGCAGGTAATTACTTCATTAATATAATTAACTAACCACGTTTCTCAGAAGAGAAACGTATAAAAATATATACATATATATTATATATAGTAGAATAACTATATATAAAAAAGTTCATACATTATCCACGTCGTCATGTTATGGGTGAGCATTTTTACGTCTGTTTCATCTTTGAAATAGCCATCTCTTATTTCCAATTCATTATTGCATCGGGAATTAAAGCAAAGGCTGCGAGTAACGCATTTTGTTTACCGACTAAGCTACAAAGCGATTGACTAATTTATTTCTCGCCACTACAATATTTATTACATTCCTTGCAATAATCTAACGGTCGACTGTAACACTCATTTTCGTTATAGATGCTCCAAATGCTTCGTCACGAATACAAATCTAAGAGCGAACCATCTGATAGAACTACCAGATGTTACAATGAAAAGCGTAATTGTCAATGGGTCCGAACTACAAGTAACTTGTAAGTTATTAAACTACCCATTATCTTTTAAACTTAACTTAAATAGATGTAAGGTTTCCTAAAATTATAAGAGAAACGATTCGAATCACTGTATGTTTGTTACAAATAAACTCAAAAACTACCGGACCGAAATATTATTTTTGAGTAACGTGGCTACATTTAGTTACAAAATATTTTAAATAATTAAATAGCCCGAACAGGCCGCTAGTATTTTATATATTACCTTTATATATACTCATAACATTATTCTGTCGCTCGATGTTTATTGTTTACGATATGAGTACGTCACAATTCACAAGATTAAACAGATTAGAATTGAGAACAGAATGAAATCAATATTAATTTATTCCTATACAATCATATGTGATTAAGATTTAAACGTAACTTTTAAAACTGCGCCTTGATTTTTCCAGGGCCAACTATCTTTATTAAATCTAGTTGTAGTTAGTCTATTCTTGAATAGTTGTGAGTCAGCTATAAAATGTATTCATTTAGGGTCTGATGAGCACGAATCTACCTACGATGCAGAATTTTTGGCTGAATTCGAAATGAAGGCCTGGGTGGACCGTCGAAGGATCAACCACATCATATGGCGCGGAGATGAAATTTCTCACAAAGTTGCCAGAATCCCGGTTGACAAATTCCTCAAAACAAAACAAGGAGCAAAAGCGATTTTTCAATCAATTCTGGACTACGGAGTGGCTTTTATTGAGGAAGTAAGGAATTCTATTATTTGTTGTTATTATTTATTTTATAGATTTTTATCGACCCAATCTTATGGAGAAAAGAAAGACACAAGAAATGTCGGCTTTATTTTCTTGGAGCAGTTTATATTTCGACAAACATATATGTATTAATAAATACACAAAGACGGGGCAAAAACAATAGTCTGCCAGCAGAACTCATATAAAATATTTAATATTTTAATGTAAAAACTAAAACAAAATAAACAAAATTCTTGAGCTATGGCATAAAAAAAATCCGTGTTGCTATGTATAAAATATATTTCATTAATGTTGTAAATATCTCGGTAAGGTGGAACCAACTTTGGACGGAACAGCAGTAGTAGCGGAGGCTCTTGGTGGAATCCAGCAAACTTTATTCGGTGGTATGTGGGACATCAAAGTAGACGAATCACTTAACGACACGGCCTTCATGAGTATCCCTCTACCGCAGCACACAGATCTATCTTCCTTCACGGATCCCGCTGGGTAAATATATGTAGATTTTCCTATATCATAGATAAGGAAACATCTCTTTCTATCTCACGCATTATATTGACAACATCCAGTAAACTCAAACTATCTTTATTCATATAGGTAAACAAGTACACTTATGAACGTTAAAAAGAAGTTAAATTAATTGTAAATTTACATTTACTACCAGTTCGCAAGTCAAGGGCGTAGAGCGGGTAAGAAGAACGTAGAAGTATCTAGAAGCCTAAAGGCCTTAAATGGAAAGTTATCATAAAAATGGCCAAAAACATATTGACCTGATTCTCTATTTTCGTTTCCCATATATGTGTGCCTTGCCTTCGTAATATTTTTGCACTGATATATCCTTCTCTGTTTAAGTGTTAATTACGCACGTTTAATATAAGCGATCGAGCACAATTGCTCCTGTTTTTAACTCCTTAACTCTTTTAGTTAAACCGGCGATGGGAAAACATCAATAAACAACGTTGCAGTCTGTATTGACTGCAACATGCCGTCCGTCTATGGCCCGCTTTATACTTCTTTGGCGTAAAAATATAAAAATCTTTTCAAAAATTTTATTCTACGTTTGTAGAAAAAAACTACATAACTATAAAAAAAACTAAATGTTGACTATAGCTAACTTAAGTGTCGGTTTTTTTGTGACGGTATGCACGCGCATCGTAAAATTTACTCTCATCATTTTTCCCTAACGCGCCAAAAGTAGTATAACTTCAGTAAAAAAAAATACATGGTCTGTATTGGCAGTGTTTAATATACCTATAGGTATTTAGAACGTGTTGCTAAATTGATATTTCTACTGACTGGAAGCCTAATAAGAAAGCCAGTGGTAACAACAATGAGTAGAAATCCCAATGAAATTGCGTTTTTGAGGGCATCAAGTTATAGTTTATTTTGAGTTTTTCCGCACAATCTACAACACAATAACTTACAGAAATGCCCCAATGGGTTTGAGTAGCCTTGTGTTCGGTTGATTTATCTGCTCCTCGCTCTTCAACTTTTTGCCCTTCAAGGATATCTAATAAAACATAAAATTTATTGTCCTTATAAATCAGTATTATCTACTATCACTACTATCAGTATTATATATTCAGTGGCTTAAGCTTCATTCATAAAAACAATGGCCTATAGTAGTTTTTGTATGAGGTTTGAATCATTGGCCTAAAGGGTTAGATACCAGGCCATAAACTCCAAAAAAAAAAAAATAAGGTTTGAGTCAAACCATTAGCATTCTGTCTTTTCAGTCATCGAAGTTTTAAAATTAAACTGTCTTTTTCGTCAGTGAAATACTCTTCCTCAAAATTATAATTTCCTTGATAAATAAAATAGTTGTTTACAATTAATCACGATAAAGGTGGCGATGGATGTCTGAATATTAAAAGCCTATATAAGGCCGTTTAAGAAAAACCTTTTTTTTATAAAAGCCTTGTTCCGGGTTTAAAGACAGATGGAGGAATTTTTGCTGCTGAAAAATATTTATAACGTTTCTGATACTTTTAGCTTGCAACTCCTTCATTCCCTGGAGCACACAAATGGTGAAGGTGGTGAGACTGTTCTGGTAGACGGGTTCTACGCTGCGGCGAAGTTAAAGGAGGAGCATCCAAGAGACTATGACTTCCTAACAAAGTTCCCAGTGGAGGCCGAATACAAATTCAACGGACATTCATTTAGACACGCTGCGCCGGCGATTGAGCTTGATATGATCACGAATGACGTCAGACAAATTAGGTAAGAGAAAAGTGTTATATTTTTTTATATATTGTTTCGGTAACGGTTATGATAATAAAAATGACCGCGTAATGTTTAATTTAAAAGCGGTCTGTACTTAAAAGAAAATTTATATTTTTATTATTTAATGATAGATTTTGTAATAATTTGAAAAGTAAAGCCTTGAAGTAATGATAATAGTACAATTTGCGAATGATATAAGGTAGTATTATATTTTTATTTAACTGTTCGACCATCAACAATAATTATCCCAGGCGCTCACGGGCGGCATTTAGCACACATCTTCACAGCTTGACAGCAACGTAATGTACTGAAAAATGACATTTATTCAAATGTAGCATTAACAATTGATTTGTATTTCAGATTCAACTCATATGATAGGTCACCAATGGCGTTCACAAATGGTGACGATTGCAGAACATATTACCGCTCCTTGAAACACTTCGCTTCATCCATCGAGAACAAGAAGAACCACTGGCAGTTCAAATTGAAACCTGGTATGTGCTTTGCATTAGGATTAAGGTTATGGTCATTGATTATTGGTTTGTGGACTCCGCACTTAGACTCTCAATAGGTCCATTGTGCGTTAAGTTCTGGCCAATAGGATTAATGTTTATTAATCAATTAACTTAATTAAGAACAGTTCGATTCGCGGAATATTCTTTATATTACTGGAATATGATACGCTGTCTACCGTGTACTTGCCTATGAAAGAAAAATATAAATGAAAAAGATGCAGAAACTTTTGCCCAAGTCACCAATATATAACAACAGAATTTAAGAAATTATTTAAAAATAAAATAAATAATTATAATAAAATTACAATAAAGGTTAAAAATATTACAAAAATTATAAAGGTATTATATTTTAAAATAATTTCCTTTCCAGGCGTTGTTATGGTGTTCGACAACTTCAGGCTGTTGCATGGCAGGACGGGTTTCACCGGTAGGAGAGTCCTTGGTGGAACTTACGTATCCAGAACCAACTGGATGGACAAGGCCCGTGTTCTCGAACTTATTCACTAAGCTAATATTATTATTTAAGTAATTAATCATTTAAGAAAATAATTTTGTAATTTTGTATTTAAATTAAGAAATAAAGTTTATAAAATCTAATCTAGTCTGTATTTTTTTTAAACTATTAAGGTTGATTTATGCCACCAGTAATAAGTGATATTTCTATAGATTTATATTTCCTTTCTATCTTCCTTTATTTTACCTTATAGAAATTATATTTTTAATTTAAAATTTCGTATAGAGAATATATGACATATATGTATTTTATACTTTATGCGAAATAATTTATTGAAATGACGGGTTGTAAATTAAAATGCCACATGTTTTTAGTATCGAAGAAATAAATAAAAAAAAAAATTATAATTTGTATTAAATTTCTTTTTTATTTGAATGACAATTAAATTCATTAAATTTCTGATATTTCCCTTTTCCCTCCCTCTAAGTCTCGGAAAATGTAGTTTTAGATTTGTATAAATATGAACAAGAGTTAAAAATAAGTTTGCCAAAGAAGTTTCACTTCTGACATTTGTACTTTGTACGCACGCACTTTTTTTTAAACTTAACATCGATCGTGCAAAGTATCGGTGTATGGACTATTTGTCCTGTAGACTAATTTAAAAAATATATTCTCAAGAGTTATCTCTTTGACATTCGTTTTAGATTTTACCCCCTACAATATTTAAATTAAAAGCTACGATAAAAGTAATAATGTTTAAGTATGTGATCTTAAATCGTATAATATTTATCTTAGATGGACTTGCCCTTAAAAAATATAGTAAATATGCTAGTTCGCAAAGCGATACGGGATAACATTTGTAGCAATCAAGCAGTTGATAGTGGGTTTTCTTAAGATACTTTTTGAACATCTCGATAACCTAATGCCATGACTTTATAAGTGCCTTAACACACTGGCGATTTGCGACCGATTTGAAAGCGACGCGATGGCGCAGCGTGCACGCCATTTTGTACACTCGAGTTCGAATCAGGAATGGGCCATATATGCGAATTAAATACTCGCTTGTACGGTAGGAAAATATCGTGACGAAACCGGCATGCTTTAGACACAAACAACGTGTCAAGCACAGAAGGCCATTACTTACTTGCCTAAGAAGAAAAAAAACGATTAAGAAACTGATACAGAAGTTAGAGGCCAGGCTGTGCCTTTCCATAATTACACGAGGGAAAGATTTAAAAAATGATTCTGCACGTCTAATGACATGTATGAAATTTTTTGTCGGACTCTATTTGCGTACAAAAATGCACTAATTACATAGATAAAAAATTGAATTACTAAGTCAAAATATGATATATCAAAACCAAAATGAATAGTAAATATGATAAAGAGTACAACCCGGCTGAATTTTTCGTATTACACATTACTATGCTACTGCATATAATAAAAATACATGTACATAGCGAACACAGCATGAATAATTTAAAAATAAATTGATAAAAAATTAAATGTCAGCGTAAATAAAATATTGCGTATTAAATAACAAAACTTGTAGTGAGATAGAGGACAACAGATATTATTAATGTCCGCCTTATGTTCATTTACGATGTTGATTTTTTCATGTTTGATACAGAAAATATATAGAAGTGCATCGTATTTGTTTACTCAGTCTCTCTCTAACCACGATTTTTATCACTCAAAGCGATCTTATCTAAAGTATTGCAATAGATTATCCAAAATTTGTATTAATTTCTATACGGAAAAAGCCTCTACCTCTGACAAGTGTGACCCTGACCGTTGATGAGATTTTAATAATATTGTTATTAGTTACGATAAACTTTATTCATTAAGTATAATTTATAAGATATTCCTAGAAGTGATCGCTCACAGTGAACACGTAATTATTTTAATAACAGTATTATAAAATGACAGGTAAGTCAACAGTAGATTTTCCTTAATAAAATAATAATTTATGATTTATTCAAAAAAAGAAAATTATACCACATGAATAGACAATCACCTGAATTTGAATTTGTAGTGTGGTGTAGCCCTTTAGGAACCAAGGTTAAACCCCTTAGTGATTTTTGGTGTTTTCTGTACTTTTAGTTTTTTACATATTACAATAATAAATAAAAAATCTATACTAAAACTAAGTAGAAATAAAAGTACATAAAGTAAATGTATATTTAGCTAATTTTATTCTTATTGAACTTATTTACATATTATTCAATTACAGTTAGAAATTTAAATATGAAGTTACGAAGCATGTTGAAATGAATAATGTGTTTATAAAGCTATATTATAATGATATTTATTTAATTTTGTGGGTTTCCAGGAATAAAAGGGGTGAATAGAAACGGAACAGCAGTGAAAGTAATTTTTGACGATGGATATGATTTAACATTCGAAAGTTGCTGGTTGAGGGATCACTGCAGGTTAACTTTAATCTGTTATATTTACTCAATTTACAATATCTAGTTACTAGCGCCTTTTTTATAAAGGAGAGATAAAATGATTACAAAAAAACATATATTAAGATTTTTTTATATTGGAAATGTTCTTATATCAGGGGTTGTAGAAATCTTTGGCTTAATTGTCTAGAAAGAATGACTAAGCAATTTATTAATTTAAAGGTGCCACGTTTGTTACGATACAAGAACAAATCTACGGACTGCCCACATTTTGGATATTCCTGAAGTTGATATTGTTGAAGCCGTGTGCAAAGATAGAAAACTTATCATAAAATGTAAGTATTAAGACAATTTAATTGGATATTGAAGTGTATAAGGAGGTATTGTAAACGTACCAGTTTGGACTATTTTGGATACTCTAAAACTCCGACGTGACATTATTGACCTAGTTTAATACTCATACTAATCTGTTCCTTTCTTTGTAATCCTAGAGTTACTAGAACTAAAAGTATTCTATACGTACCTACGGCTCGCTTATATGCTTTTAATGGTCCTTAATGGAACTTAATTATTAACATTTCATAAATTTACAACAATCTTTCAACTTACCGTAACTTTATTTATCATGCTTTTAATGAGGTGTAAGTTTCAGTTATTATTACGTTTTTTAGGTATTTTTTTTTTGTGGCTAATTGTTTAATATTTCCCTTGCTAGCTCGCTTATGTTTTAATAAAATTTATGTGTGTAAAATTAGTGATGTCATATTTTCTTGTATAATTTAATGCATACACGTTGTTTTAAAGTTATAAATAAATTTAGTACAGTTTTATATTTATTATTTATCTATACCGAAAAACTTAAACTTTATATACACAGCCGAATTTATAATATTAGCTCTAATCAAATAACCGCATAAATCAAACAAAATAGTCTAGCCTAAATTTGTTAATTATATGTAATTCTATACAGTTTTTTCTTTAAAAGATGTTTAATGTTCAATTTCGGTTTTCTTTGCTCTTTGTCTATTAATATACTTATTTATGTTTTCTGTTTCATATATCTGGTTTATCAATGGTATCTGTTTTGGCTTTGTAATAATGTCTAAGTGTTTAGTTTAATGATATGGATGTTAGCTGTAATATTACTATTAAATAAATAAATAGATATCGGTTTTTGAACACCAAAAATGTTCCTTAACATTGTGAATACATAAGAATCAATGTCGTGTATAGGAAATTGAAATTGGAAATCGATGTAATCCGTAAAAGCCAGTTTATCACGCTTGATATTTCTTGATATTCTAAGGATCTATCGAAACAGAATGCATTAAACTGTATGTTTGTTAGGAATCAAAATTTATAACAATTTATTTACAAATTTAAAGAAAACACTTTTTTACCGGATTGAAGTTATGTATTATTATAATAAATAATAAACTTTAATTTTTTTCCACCATTTCATTTCGTTTACATAACTTCAATCCGGTAAAAAAGTGTTTTCTTTAAATGTGTAAAAGTTATATTAATAAAAGACAATTTACACAATTTTACGGGGACATATATATAACCTCCAGGGTCAGACAGCCACGTATCGAGTTACAATGGAGACTTCTTATCAGAATTCAATTACGACACGTGGAGCAAGAGTCGGAGAAGTGCACCGAAACTCTGGCGGGGCGATGATATCCTAAACAAAGTCGCTAAGGTCCCTGTCAAGAAATTTCTTAACACTACTGATGGAGCCTCTGCTGTATTCCAGTCTATACTGGATTATGGAGTGGCTTTCATAGAAGATGTATGTTTATGTTTATTAACAGTTTTTTTGATAGACCTTGGCACATTTTAAACGTTGGTAAAGCATAGTGATCACCACCAAATTTTGAATACAATTTCTGGTTTCAGGTCGAACCAAGTCTAGCAGCTACGGAAGTAGTTTGCAAAGCATTAGGAGGTGTTCAGCATACATTATTTGGTGGTATGTGGGAGATTAGCCCAGAACCAGGAAACAATGATACCGCTTACATGAGCGTGGGTTTACCTCAGCACACAGATCTTTCATCCTTCACTGAGCCAGCGGGGTAATTTTCTTCAGTTTATTAAAAAAAATTTTTTTACAGATTATCTTTAATAATTAATAGGTAGACAGACATGCATAGGCAGTCATATTATTATTTTTATTTTTTTGCTGCTCAGGCGCAAACTAAGAACAATACAAAGCTGTGAAACAGTCTGCTCCTTAGCATAATACTGCCCTGCGATTCTGTAACTCACACAGCGGTTTTCGCATCGGCGGTCGCTCTCAAATCAGTCGTGAAGCAGTCATTTTATGATTTGGCATTCTGAAAAGGTGGGAGCTTGTAGTTTATTGTTTATCAGAATGCCAAATCATAAAATGACTGCTTCACGACTGATTTGAGAGCGACCGCCGATGCGAAAACCGCTGTGTGAGTTACAGAATCGCAAGGCTGAGCCAGGGCCAATTACAACCACAGCACACGCATTACACACCTAAAACGTACCTTCTTCTTTAAAAGAAAAAGAAATTGTTATCTCTCATCCTTTTTATTTTTTCTTTGATTAGTGCTATTTTGTGTGTTTCTGTGTGTGTGTTTTGTTAGTAAAAAATGTTATGTATGTCTATGTCATATAGAGTCACTTTATGGGCAGCAGATACCCGTCTCTACCTTAGAAAACTCAAAACTGCCACCTAAGACCCCATATACGCCATTGTACTCAAATATCTGAGTCTGCTATCAAGAACAGAAAAGATATAGTAAAATTAACTTTTAATACAGCAAACTTTAGGCCTGCGCATAACAAATAAGGTTTTAACTAGTGTTATTAAATAAAAAAATATTTATAAAAATGTATGACACAATTACTCAATAATTTTATCGCGCAAAGGTCATGGTAAATGCCTGATGGCTATTGGTCAAAGTCTATAAAATAGTTGCTTTAATTGGTTTTAACAAGACAACAGTATAAAGATAAACTTAAGTTCAATAAGTTGCGCAATGGTTAGTTAATGTTGGTTTATGGTTATGAAATAATGGTTAATGCTTCGAAACGCAGAGAATTATATTTACGGTGCTTGAATTAAACAAAACTTGTATAGTACAGCCTCCATGGATATTCATGAGTTCCAAGTTTCGTGCGTAAAACTATAATATAAAACTCGCTGTTTATAACAATCGTAGCTTTTTATGTATCAAAACCAAACTTCTTTTAGCTTTTCTAGCTTCTCACTTTGAGGTATCTTTAACAGCTATTTAATTTTTGAAGGCTTCAAGTATTCCACTGTATACGACACGATGGCTCTGGTGGAGAGAGCGTTATCTCAGATGGATTTTATGCAGCAATGAAATTGAAGGAAGAAAATCCTAAAGATTTCGCTTTTCTGACTACATTTAAGGCTGAGGCGGATTACCAGTTCGATGGTCATTATTTTAGACACGCTGCACCGATGATTGAACTGGATCAATATAATGATGTTCGTCTAGTAAGGTGAGAACAATTAGCTATTTTTTACATGATTTGATTTGTCAGTATGTACCTACTTCTGAATAAAAGATTATCTCTAAGGAAAGCCTAAATCAGTGAAAGATGTCGTGATTATATTAAATCTTTGTTTATTATTAAGGTGGGAACTGACCAACGTTACGAGGTGTAATGTAACACGTTACACAGCGAGCATACGTGCAGTCAACGTGCGAGCAACGAGCCGCTCGTTGCTCGCTTTGAGTGCTCCACCCGGCTGTCGGTTTTTTGGCGAATCCTTTGACTATTACGCGGTTCAGTAATTACGCGTCGCACGTCGCGAGTGATCATGATTATGATTTTCTATAAAATGTGTCTTTTTTAAGTACTTTTGGTCCAATTAAATTCAACAGTTCTTCAAAATCGAGACCTGCGTAGAATGTTTTTATACTGTCCAGTAATCATTTGGTTTTTAATATTGCAATCAATAACAAACCACCTCATACGCCTGTGTTTTTAAATAAGTTTTATGTCCAGTAACATTTTTTCTTCTTTTAATTTGGATGAAACAATAATTAAATAGAATGAAAGATATCAACATTATCACTATCACATCTCGTGAAAACTGGCGGCGAAAGTGGAGCACATAGTTTTGACGAGCATGTTACGCCAATTTTAGAACACAGCGTAACATGCTCGATGCGTAACACGCTCGATGCGAATGCTACATTACACCTCGTAACTTTGGTCAGTGCCCACCTTTAGACTATTTACAAGTTTTAGTATGTAATCAGTTTTAGGAATTTTGTAGTTAATAAAGAAGACGGTTACACGGTTTCTTCTTTCGGCAAGTCATTTTTTAGCTGTAATCGTTTGTCATAGTTCTAGCGTGGATATTTTTTCAGATTTAATACGCATGACCGTTCCTCTATGGCATTTGAAAGTGGCGAGCAGTGCAAAAACTATTACCGGGCAATCAGGAATTTCGCTAAGCATATTGAAAATAAAGAAAATCTGTGGACATTTAAATTAAAACCAGGTACGATGTTAATTTACGTTTTCATTTCTATTATTATACAACTGCAACTGAACTGGTTCTGGTCCTTTATATGTATATCTAAAGTAATGTATTAATTTAGTAAACGAATTACATAGGCTAACGGACCTATTTCATTGTCCGTTGAGTGAACTGGCAAAAGTTCTATCATCTGTTAGTGCCTATAGTAGTTATTTAATTTATTGTATTTTTTATTATGTAATTTTGTTTTTCCTAATTTATTTCGTATGTTTGTTTTTTTTTTGTTTCGTCTATAAAATTTAATCATTTATTGTGCACTCATGTCAAGTTAGGATCGCCTGTAAGGGCAGGAGTGTTTTATAAATAAAAAAACTTATTATGTTAAACATAATAGTCACAGATTTCTCACAAGAATACCTGCCCTGCGATTTTATAACTCACTTTTCGAACTCATACAGCGGTTTTCACAGCGGCGGTCGCGCTCAAATCAGTCGTAAAGCAGTCATTTTACCATTTGGCATTCTAATCAACAACAACAGTGAAAACCGCTGTGTGAGTTCGAAAAGTGAGTTACAGAATCGCAAGGCTGTAATCAGCTAGTCTCCTTCATTCCTATCAATTATTTCGCAACCAGTTTGCTGTTATTATCTAATGATATGGAATTAGCCGAATACAGAAAAAGTAATCTTACCTTTTCTACACTTTGTCATAACAGTAGTTTTCTCAACGCTCATTTGTTTAATATGATTTAGTAATACTTTAACATACATTTTCAGGACTCATCATGGTCTTTGATAACTTCAGGGCTTTTCACGGAAGAACTCAGTTTACAGGAATGAGAGTTATAGTTGGAAGCTACGTATCACGTACTGATTGGCTCGACAAAGCTCGAAGCTTCAAGCTTATTCAGTAGTATACTTGTATAAAATCTTGTACTTATTTTTTTATATTGCATGTGAAAATTGACTTACTATTTACTTTAATATGCACCAACTCTGTCCAGTGTACACATGCCTGAATACAAGAATAAGTGAAATGAATACATTTTGTTTGCTTCATGCATTATGCATACTTTTTATAAAACGAAGTGGCAAGCGACACAGGCTGATAGGATAAAAATATGAAAGCTTAATCCTCTCCTAGAACCTATTGACAGGCAAGATGGCGGTTGTTTGAGATTGTGTGCTTAAATTCGTTAAATATTTGAATAACCATTTTTAAATTACTATAACAAAAAACAATAACTAACCTTAAAATTTAATAACTGAGAGACCTTTTAATAATATATTTTATATTATTAAAAGGTCTCTTTAGGCAAGTTTCCGAAGATACTGGCAGCGTCCCCCCTGTGAATAGCAAGACTAATTCTTTGTCCGAGGTAGCTGCCAGCTCTTCGGTCTCTTGTGATGTCGACTAACCTTTTTGCTATTTTCTTAAAAAGCCTTATAGCGCTAGGACCTCACGGACCAAGGGTCTCGACACCGAATGGGACAAAATCATATTCGGAGCCTAGACCCCTGTATTAGCTTTTTCAGCCGCATCACAAGTCGCATCAGCTCTGTTGTTGGTTCCATGTACATGTGAAGGGGCCAGTGTGTTGCATCCCATACCAGCACCCGCCCCATCTTCCATGGAATCAAACTCATACCTTCCCGTCTCTTGCCATCGTCTCTTGCAATTCCAGTTGGCTCAAGTAGACTTGGCACGTTGACGGTGCCAAGAGACCGGCATATGATATCGTTGAGTGCGGCATGTCTCGAGAAGCGGCCTGCACTTTTTGGCATGACAGTAGCTACGTGATTTCCTAGCTTGTCGACATCACTGCCACAGGGACATTTATGAGGAGCGCAGACCGGAACCCCAAGCCATAGACAGGTTGCGATTCGGAGCGTGTCGGGCTCAAGAAATGTTCCTGTATTTGACGAAGGGTAAACGTGAAGCCAGTAGCCGGCCTCACCCACGGCCAAAAACCTAGCACTCGCCGAACCTGTACTACAGCTCAAAAGATTGTCTAACCTAAGTCAAAATAGACGTTATTTATAATGTAATGAATGATAAAATGTCTGGCCGTTGGACGTTTGACACAATTTTCATATGCAGCCTTTAAGTTCTGCAGCTCAGATTGTTGTATGTCTCAGTATCATTTGTTTTTCCAAATAAGCAAGTAGGTCAGCCTTTTGTGCCTTTATTTATTATATTTTTGTGCCTAATTATCAGGCTTTGCACGGAGACCACGAAAAGTTTGTTGTGTTCTCGATATACTCTATAAGAGATGCTGTTATATATAGCCCAAATTAGTTCTAGAATCCCCAAATAAATAACATTTGGCGATAACCTGAATTAAAACCAGTAGGAAGGCACAAATTGATATTGTTACAACTTTTTTTTTTTTATAAGATAGGGGGGCAAACGAGCTTGCGGGACGACCAAAAAGGGCAGTCTTCGCAGCCCATAGACACCCATTTTTAGTGGATGCGTTGCCGGCCTTTGAGGGAGGAGTACGCTCGATTTTTAAACATTTGGAGGTCATATCACTTTATACAGGAACAGCTGATCCGAAATCCAGCTTCGATGCCAGTCTCTTTATTTTAAAATACCCTATCGTGGTGAATTAAGTTTCTCATGTGAATTTTGATCAATCGATTATATCGATAAGATTCCAGATTGGCGAACAGTATTTCAAAAACGTTCTTATAAGTGCAAAAAATAATTTTTAAGGTCACAAAGCATTCCTAAAAACTTTACAATTTCTTGAAACAAAACCAAGCAACGTAAATGCTCTATTTATTGCTAAGATAATTTGAAAACAAGCATAACATTTTACGATTCACTCCAAATACTTGCATTCTTATTAATTAATAAGCAGTAAGTGGTCCACTCTGTCGACCGCTTTGCTTAAGTCCATGTAAATAACATTAATTTCTATGTAAATAAACAGTCTCTCTATGATTATGTCGAAACAAAAATTGTATCTTACAAATTAAAAACTTATTTTCAGATAGCGAAAAATGAATTAACACTTAACATAATTTAACATATCGATCGTACCTATCCCGTTATCGATATGCACCTTTACAATTATTACGCACATCACTACACCTATCCATTAGACCTGTAAGTGGGAAGTGGTGTATACCCTCAAAATATTTATAATATTTTTCACAAGAAAAATGTCTGATAGATCTTGTTTGCGAATTTATACAATACACAACATTTGATTATTCACCGACGTGTAGGAAAAAAATAGAAAAAGGCTTATGTTCCCCCTAAACATAATCGGCCACATGTAATCATATTAGTGTGTAGCTCACAAGTGACGAAGTGTTCTCTGTGTGACATATTTGTATGAAAACTTGTAGTTTTCTAGAAGGTTATTACATTATGCAGTAAATAATATGATATATCGTAAGTTGAATATTTGTCGATCATGGTAGAGCCACTGGTGCGAAAGACGGTGAATAGATGAATAAAAAAAGTTTTAAAAACAAAATACTTTATTTAAATTACTTAAGACCATATTTACATAACATTTATAACAAATAAAATTAGTAACATTTGGCAATATATACTTAGGTAGTAATCTGTGGAAACCTTACATGATTATTGAATATCGGTGGCTGAACGTGTTATCAATTTTGTTAAAATAAAAAATATAACTTTTTTTTTTATTAAATTTATATAATTTAAAACGAACGAAAACCAAATTCATATTTAATGACTTTCATTAATCGTAAAGTTGGGTCTTAGTCGCATTGTCTAATAGACAACAAAATTACTATGAAAAAAAAGTATACTGTTAGGTAAGCTATTAAATGTTTATGACTAGAATAGACATTTTCTGTCGGTAATTAAAAAAAAACACTATATTTTGTTTTAACAAATCATTTAGCATGAAAATATTAAGAAAAAGAATTTGATTCTAAACTTTAGCCCAAGATTTTCATTAAGGATTTTAATTAAATTTTCAATTATGTAACGAAATTTAATTAATTTTTATAAATATTGTAATACCACTACAACATGTTTTCTTTTAGGAACTTTTCAAGGGCGTGGTATAAGTGTTGCTTTACTCCACCTAATCCGTGGTCTTCATCTGTGTAACTCTGAAATATAAATATGGTTAAAAGATTTATTCAAACCAAATCTCATTAGTACATAGCCCAAAGCTGAGGCTTAGTAACGCATATGGTGTCAAACTTTGAGGTCTTGGGTTCGATACTATGAAACAATAAGTAGTTCAGTACGCAGAAAGTCACCAATGCATTAAAAAAAATTAACATCCGTACAGCGAGTTTGTGCCATGGCCCCAATGAAAGTTACGGAAATTGCAATTGGTAATAAAAATAAGTAATGAAATTATATTTTACCGTCATATAATTTTAGTTTTTTTTTTAAATATTGTAATTAAAATAATTTATTTAGTTGAAATTTCGTCATACAATATTTATTAATGCGAATTGAGCTAGTGAATTGTAATATAAAAACTATTTGTTCATCGAATACTTTAAATATGAAAAATGCGACAACTGTATTTCCTCATTTTTCTTTTTATATATACTTTTATAATTGTTAATGCATATATTTTGTTCAATCACTATTTTCCTATATCGGTTAAGAAATTTTAAAGTTCTTTATATTTGTGTGTTACAGCTGATAATATTATCATGACTGTCACTACAGTAGATAATAAATAAAAATATGCATTAAAAATAACTACGGTTGTTATAAAGCCCTCGAATTGAGCTGCAATAAAGCACATTTATACTCCTCAAAGAAATTATTTAAATTAATGTATGAAAAGGTGAAATAATTACATACCATCTGCGTGAAATAGACATCTTTCAACTGTAGTCGTCTTGAGAATAACATGGCGTGTTGGTAATGTACATTGTCATCCTCAGTTCCGTGGACCAGGAAGTAACGCTTACCGCGGTAAGATTCCACCTGTAACACCAATATTATTTAATTGTGTTTCTATATTAATATAAATTAGTGCCTTGCGTGCAACCCAGAGGTAGGTTCGAACCCCAAAACCAATGGACTTTTATCTCTAAGTGCATTTAACCACGTGAAATCTGCATTCCTAAGGGTGAGATCTATAGTGCGCACTTAGACTTTGCTCTGACTTAACTATCGAGCTAAGACACAGTCGGTATTTATAGAGCAAACTACGAATCTCTCCCTAGTGTTGGCTTAGCTTAATCTCAAGTCCACGAAATCGACGACTTACCAAAAACTTTGACTATAAGCCTAACAAAAATAATGGCCCAAAATTTGCTTTACCATCATATCTTTTACTGGACTTTTTATTTTTGTCGGTTTTTAATGAACGGTGTTGCCATTTTGTATCGGAGTTCCATAGACTTTGGGAAAAATAGAATTTGAATTCAAAGAAATTATAAATGATCTTGATAAATACCTATGAAATGCATGAAATAAAATAATTACACATTATTATGGTATTTATTGTTGTTTATTTATATTATTTATGTAATTGTTCAAACCCCATTTTTGTGAAATCTTAAAAATAACTGGTGTGATTTTGTATGTCACCTGGCAGCCCTGGCAATTGGCATATTATAGTGACAACGAAATTCAAACTATAACCTAACCAAAACATTGCGATCCGTTCTACGTAATAAAATTATTGTCATCTTTAAATAATTAATACATTTTCTAAAGGTTACTCGTGAATTTCTAGTTATTGCAATAATAAAATAAATGAATACATAAATAACAATAAATTGAAGATATATGTGTACCGTTTTAGATTTTTAAATATTTGTTATTGTTAACTTTTTTAAAGGATAATAAACAAAGTATTGCATGAAATGAAACATCAATTTGTATTTTGACATTTTCTGTCTTAGCTTGGGCTTAGCTTAATCTCACCGTTAAAATGTCTATAAATACGAAATCATAGTTTAACCTTAGTGTACACTAAGCAAAGTTTTTCGTAAGGTAAGTCTGAGCAAAGTCCAAGTGCGCACTATAGATCTGCATCCCTTAGACCCAAAAATCGGCATGTGTAACACAGAAGGGTGATCGCCTACTTGCCGATAGAAAAAAAAATATCAAGAAAGAGATACAGAATTCTGGGGCCAAGACCAAGGGTTGTAGCGCCATTGTTTTTTTTTTTACATTAACAGGAATAGAGGAAAGCTTTTGTTTTTGTAATAGATAAAATATTTATAATAAAGTTACTGAAATCCCCAATACAAACCGCTACAAATATCAAAACAAATTGTTTTTTTTTTACTGTTTCCATATACTATAATACTGTTAACTATCATTTACGGGTGTTAGCTAATTTGGCCATATAGGAGAGAACCTCGACAAACTGGTGGGAGGTAGGACTGATGATAGGAGTAGAGTCGTACCCTTGGTCTGACCAAATAAAGACAATTTTTGGTCTCAACATCTCTAATGAGACAAGCGGAGGATAGAGTCAGGGCCTGATTAACCCTTAGGCTAATTAGGCTGTAGCCTAGGTCGCGAAGATCTAGGGGGCGCTGAAAGCGTGTCTTCGGTAGCATCATCCCCTGCATATTTCAATTAGACCGAGACAAAACACTAAATGAACTGGATCTACAAGCAGTTTTAGTATCCTAATTTGTTACAAGCAACGATCAGCTAAAAAATGGTTTCAAGTCGTGCAAATTAAAGGACAGCGTTATATTCGCTTGCAGATCGATCTGAAAACTTTTATACCTAGAACCTTTTATAGCTGATAGGAATAGATAGGTTCATACCTGGTTCATACCATGTTAAAATTTTCAAACTAGTAAACAATGTCAAAACTAATATAACAAAACTTTTGAGACCGACCGTAACACACCGGTCACCTAGCGAGGGCGCATCCTGATAATTAGCCTAGAGCGGTCAGAACTCTTGATCAGTCTCTGGATAGAGTGAGGAAGCAGCAAGTCGTACCAGTAATGAAGACTACGAAGAGTTATTATTAATGAGAAAAGAACAAATGTGGAAAAGCAACCCAGTACTAACAGTTTGTATTTTATTCAAACAAGGGTTGTAAGTTTAAAAACTGTTTTTAGCTCTTATCGGAACTCTACAAAACATCTACCAAAACTTACCCAGATTTTGAATAGGACCTTTAAGTCCGATTTTTTAAGATACAGCGTATTAAACTAGGAAAAAATGTAATCTGGTTTTGAATTAGGAATCTATATTTTAGAATAAAAATTAATCTTACCACTGCATCTGTTAGTAATGAAGAATTGGCATACGCCTCAGGGTTGGCTTGAGGTGTGTCCATGTATCTTTCTGTGTAGATGGTGTCTGTAATACATAAAATTGTATATATTTTGTAGATGAATAAATAAGGCGTGCGAAGTACGGATTTTCCGATTTGTACAGAGCATCCGGGGACCTAGACCAAAAGTTACACATTGATTTTTTCAATATTTTTGTAGTTCACTAGTTTTAAAAAAGCTTAATCAAAAGTTTACTAATTAATTAAGAATTTTACATTTTTAATTGGATGGGATTATATCTTACAAAACGTAGTTTTAGTTCATATGCTATTACATAGGTTGCGCTAATAGAAATTATTAATTATATTACACACGCCGTCTTAGTTCATAAATAATTACCTAGATAGCGCAGGCTATAATGCAGCACTGAAAATAACGTAACTAAACATTGTTTCAGTTCACAAGTATTCCCCAAGATGCCGCTAAAATTAATTTAGTCAAATTTATTTTACATTCCCATGCGTTTACTAGATGTCACTGATCTCCAAGTATAATATGACCAATGTGTTTGTTGACAGTTTCACTCCACTTCTATTCAAAATAAAGCTATAATATATATTACTATTTAGTTCACAGTGCGATCACTAGGTGGCGCTAACTACAGCGTATATAAAATTTAGTTAGTCATAGATCTAGACGTTTTACTGATTATAATGTTTACTAGAATGTGATAAATTATGCTATTCCTGAAATGGGCATACTAAATATATTTAATATAATTCAGTAATTATTAGCGCTAATTATGATTTATTTGAAGTTAGGTAAATTAGAGAATTATTTAGGTACCTAATGCAAAGTTTATAATTACGACATTAAGGACAGCGATTAATAACATTTTATAAGTTTTTTTAATTCAATAACTTTTTAATTTAAATTGTGTGATGGAAGCGTCGTCCCATGGGTTTTAAGCTAAAAAAATTGTCGTTATAAATCAGATTAATTCTACAATTGGATGAATGGATTTTACCACCCATTTTTCTGTAGGGAAAAAAATTCATTAAGTATAACTTACCATAATAATGCCAGTCGACAACTGGTGCAACGGCTATGGCGCATCTGAAGACGTCACCTCCGCGGGCCAAAGCCATTGAAGACGCGTAACCGCCGTACGACCAGCCCCAAATACAGGTACGGTTCCGATCTACGAAGGACAGTCGGTCTTGGAGGTATCTGAAAAAGAAAATTACAAAAATTACAATTACAATTACCTAACCATATTATTTTTAAAAAGAACACGGGCTCTCTCTGCAACTTCTATCGCATATATCAAGGGGAGTGTTCAAGAACTCTTCGGATTAATGCGGCTAAATTTCATTATCGGACGTCAAGAATGTCTGCCAAATTCCACCTTAATGTTTTGCATTCCACGACCCTTTTAAAGACATTGCGATGATGCAATTCCAGGTATTTCCGAACCCTTACGAGTTAGGGGACGTTTAGAGAAGTGAGTACCACTAAAAGGCCAGCAACGCACTTGCAAACTTCATGGTGTTTCAGATGTCCATGGGCAGTGAAGACTAAAATTTTCTATAAAACACAAATCCTATACTAAAAGACCTTCTAATTTCCTACATTTTAAAGATTACCCGGTAATTATAATTAGATTAATAAAATACATACTTAGTAACGGTAATCTGATCTTCCACCTCCACAGTACCAAGTTTCCTATTAACCGCGAACATGTTCTGAACTCCCTGGAGACCAGACCCTCGTCCGTCAATCTTCGCTACGACGATGCCAAACCGGCTGACCAGATAGGTGCCCCAGTCCACATTCCATTGCTTTGTCACTTGCGCTGTATCAGGACCAGCATAACTGTAAGAGAGTTTATACTAAAGAAATATTTAGACTTAAAAAAGAAAAGCTATGACACATTAAAAAAATTTAGAAGTCCCTCTATTCGCTTTGTCGCGAGCGGCTAATTTCTTCCATAGAATTGCAAAATGTTACTAAATTGTTTATTGCTTAGCATGAGTTTTATACAGAACGTTTGGCTAAAATCCCACCTATGTGAGTATAAGTGAGATGGGGCCTATTAGAAAACACACCAGTCCAGGAGATGCCTATATAGCCGCTTGAATGAATCCATATTTAACTGTCTACAAGGTCCGAAAGATGGGGAGCTTTGCTATTTTAAATCGTGCATTGCCTTGGGATGTCAACAACGAAGAGGTGAAACCCCAGCGTGATTCTACTGTTTAAACTGTTATGATGAATTATTATCCAATACGTTTTTGCCAGAGCCAAGTAAACAGTTCTAGCCTTAACGTTTCAGTAATTCGAATTGTTTCAGGGGTGGAAACGCTTGAATGGTTGTCTGTAAAGTTTAACGTTTAAAAACATTGATGAAATGATTGCATACATTTATGAATAAAATTGAGGCCAATCGAGAAGAGACATAGATGCGCGCAAGCGTACAACGAGCGTAACGGGACAATGAGCGTAACGGGACAATGAGTGATGCTTTTTCGTGCGTGCAGTCGGCGTTCATTGATTTATAGACTTTGTCACGTCAAAAACGTATTCATACGGGTATGTATGTTTTAAAACTGATATCACCTATAAACCTGTGAGATTTTGGAGACATAATATTTTAGGAAAAATAAATTAAAATCTTCGATGGTAAAAATGTAAAATACTCACACATTAACCAGCAATGGCAAGTTGGTCCTACTCAAATAGTCCCGAGGCGCTTGTATAAGTACTTTCCCATCTGGAATACCAGCTCCGAGGTAAACATCCTCGCGGAATGTTACCGGTAATTCTACTGAACTACTCAGTTCTGCTACATCTCGGTTTTCCTCCCATACTCTTATAAGGGTGCCGTTCTGGTAATCGAAATATGTTTTTTTTAAACTTAAGACAGTAAAAAATGCTTCTTAATACATTAACTGACAGAGTTTTTACAAATAAAGTTAAAGTACAAATATTATAATTCGATCAAAAATAGTCACTTGCAATTTCGATCAAAAACAGCCCAAGACGAAAAAATATTATTTACAAGCATACTACGTCATCGATGATTCGACTAATCTGTGACCATATTGTGTCACGTGACTGACGTATCACAGGATTTTTTCATAAATTACTGTTTATTTACAAGTTGTTTCACTCCATAATAACATCATATTTCATATCGTATTTTATTTTTGGTTTATATCGTTCATGAAAAATTTTGACTAATTTAATTTGTTAATGGATACTGAATTGGGTTTCAGCTTTGATATGTTAGATAATAAAAACGATATTTAATTATCTTCCAAAGGGAATTAGATGACAAAATGATTAAAGTATGGTTGTATACTTCTGGTCTGAATTGCAAGAAAGAGGTTTTATATCGATTTTAAAAATTTAAAACATTATCCCTTATATAATATTTTCTGAGACATATTCTGTGGCTGAACAATTGTTTAATAATTTGGAAAATATAGTCTATATACATACAAATCTTTCCTCTGTGATTATTTATTGTTTTAACCGACTTCAAAAACACCGATGTGTTATAAGGAGGAAGGAAAGAACTCACCGTATTGTAAATAAAGACTTGCGGTACATTCGGTCCATTACAGTTGAGCGTGAGTCTAGTGGTGTCGTCATTTAAAACACCGTCATTGTAAAGGCATAATTCTCCGTCCGGCCTTCGTAAGTCACAGGTGAAACAGGTCAAGCCGGTACTGGTGAGGCTGTAGATGTGCTGCTCTGTGGCATCGCGTTCTTTTGTGGCTAGGTACCAGCTGGAAAAACATAGAGGTGAAGATGTAGTCTCATGTTTATAGGTGTGGTATAAATTTTAATTTAATTTTTGAAAAAAGAAGGGTCATAATAAAGCTTTTTATAAATTTGACGAATATTTAAATGATCCTAATCCTTGGGATGGATTTGTTCCAGTTCAAACAATTTGTAAAAGCGATTAAAAATAGTGGCGAAGAGTTTCTTGCCAGTTCTTCTTGTCCGCTCTACGCCCTTGACTTGCGAAGTGGTAGTAAATATGTAAATTTAGAATTAATTTAATATCTTTTCTGTTGATGTTCATAGATGTTCTTGTTTACTTATATGAATAAAGTTATTTTGAGTTTGAGTTTGGTCTTCAACAATGCATGGTGGTGTAAAAACAATTAAAAACCCACTTCCAACACATGGCGAAGTAAAAAAAGGTGATTCTTCACAAGTAAGAGTTCATAGTTATACTGAAACAAGCTTGTTATGACATGGTAGAAACTCATAAGCTTAAGAAAGAAAAAGAAATCAGCTTATATCTATTAACCTTATTTGTATAAAAAAGGAAGGTAATATGTATGTGTGGGAAAGAGTCAAAGTGTGTGTTAATCACACACATACATTGTTTGGTTTAAGTATTCGTTTAGTTTTAAATATTATTATTCTTTTGTTTTTTGTCTTTTGTGGTTGCTTGTTTAATTTTTTCCCTTCCTAGCTTGCTTTTGTTCTAATGTATGTATGTATGTGTGTAAAATTTGTGATGTCATATTTCTTGTATAATTCTATGCTACATGATTTTAGAACATGTAAATAATAAAAAATACATACATCACGTCACTAGAGGTCCATTTCAGGATCTTGACAACTGTATGAGCGGTATTTGAGCGCCCAGAAAGGGTCCAGAGAGCAGTGGGTGTCGCACCCTGCGACACTTGCACTACTTGCTTATAAAGTACGTTGTTTACTGCCTGGAATTTTTATTAAAATATTTAGGAAACTTGTGCAGGTTGAACTCATTAAAATAGACTTTTTAAAAGAAATCACTATATCCTAAAATGCCTAAAAGGAAAATTTGGCCGGCAACGCACTTGCGACTTGCGAGCCTTCTGGCAATGTTAGTATCCGTGGGCAGAGGAATCACTTAACATTCGGTAAGTTAGCCCCCAGTAAGGTTTAAAAAAAGTCACCAAAAACCGGTGGTAATTGAAATGAATCGTATTTACACTGAAAATTACGAAATTCTGATTATACAATTCCTGTAAAATTATATAGCCTGTCTCCCCCTCGAAAAAACTTTTTAATATTATATCGTATACTATTCCCATCCTTGGTCCCAACTTCTAATAGTCCCTGCCTGACTATCGGCGTCACAAAGTGTACAAGATTTTTTATTAATTATACAAATTCTATTAAAGTACTTACATATGGTAAAATAGTAATAAAAGCAGTTCCTTGTTCGTTGAAAATCAAAGGAATGTTGTCAACCCATCCATTGACTTCAGTGTAACTGTAGATCTGGAAATTTTAGGTTTCTAGTCAAATTTTGTTACACATTACATTGTAAAGTATTTTAGAACATACAGTACTTATACTGTAGAAAATGTATTATAAATGATGTGGTCCAAATAAATAAATAACCAGTTCTTTTAGAGTACTTAAAATTAGTTACTCACCCTTCGGCAAACTGCAGTACCTTGAGTGCATAATTCTACCACGAATTGCGTTTGAACGCGATTGGTCCACATCACACCTATCGTGTTTGCGTTCACGAATGTCACAGTCTTTAAAATTGGCCTGCAATGTTATTAATGCTACAGTCGAAACCTGTTACGACGACATCGTTTAGAACAACATACCGGTTATATTGACCAAAATCAAAGGTTCCGGCTGAATTCTATTGTATTAGGTACTTAATAACAACGTCATCGGCTGTTACCACTATCGGTTTTTACGACCAATTTTGTAGTCCCTTTGATGTCGTTATAACAGATTTTCTCTGTATTAACTAATAAATTTAAAATATAAGTCTATTAAATAATGTGTAATAAATTTTATTACGAGATTTAATGGCTTGATCAAAATCAAAATTTACATTTACTGCCAGTTCTGAACGGCGCGGCGTAGAACGGACGAGAAGAACTGGCAATAAACTCTACTCACTCTTTTAAATCAATACTTATAAACATTTGATTGTAACCCTAGATTACAATCACAAGTTAGACAAGGTAAGAGTAACCTGCACATCATGCTTCAACATTCATATAGCTTTAATAAAAACTTTTAGGTTCGGCATTCATAGATAATGAGAATTTTTTCATGACGCATTTCAGAAAACTTATAAATTTTCGAAGTCAATTCATTAGCCTTACACCTTTGTGTACTTTATTTAACATAATGCAGGCTCGAGCCCGTTGTAAAATTACATTTATGTGGCTGCTGGATGTGGCATCAGAGATCAATCGCTGGAAATATGATTCTTAATTATATGGCTTACTCAGTGAGATCAGAAGGTGCGGTGTAGACGGATTGGGTTCCATCTTCCAATAGCCTTAAAATTACTGACACGGTGGGATTTATTGTACCAGACTGAAACAGATAAAATAATTAAATTTATTCTTAAGACTTGAATACAGGGCCTAGGCACATCGAAAAGATTGACCGAATTTTAAAGTAAATTATTATATTTATTAACTCGTGTTTCAAGTATTTTTTAGCTTTATCACTATAGATAAAATTTGTCAATACTTCTGCTCATCCGCTATGCTAAGCCTCTTACATAGCGAGTACATTATATACTGTACTGCCATAGAACTTGCACTTTTAAGCTTATTTTGGAAAATAAGATAATTGCGTGCAGCAATTCCTTGGTCGGAGGTATGCGTGCTCTTATTTAGAATTCCTATCTGAAGCCCTTACTTGCTTGGATTATTTAATATTATATTTAATTTCAATCTGCAGAACGCGAAAGGAACCAACAACAAGGATCAATATAGGCCTGAAATGCGTCGACTGTGGTGTTACGAATACGTAACAACTAATAATGCGTTCTGTATCGCAAAACTAAAAGGCAGTCATAAGATTAAACTTTTATCCCAACCGCCAACAATTAATAATATCATATTCATGTTGATTATTGTATAATAAAATACAATATTTCGGTTGGACATAATCGGATCCCATTTATCGCATCGCTGATTTTGTATCGAGGACAGTTTCAATTATTGTAGCAAGTTATTATATTAAATAATTCAATCTTTTGTTTTTACGTTGGTTGAGATCTTGCAGCCTGTAGCGGGATTATCCTTATAAAATCTTCTTATACTTACTTGTTTAAACTTATTTTGAAGAAGAAATACTTATACCCCCTTATTCATTAGGACCTAATAATTCTAATTGCAGTGCTTTCATTTAAGTATTCATCTTTTACGCCACAGCGTAAACACAATTTGACGGAAAGGTACGAAAGAGACGTAGTTAAAAGTAAAATAATGCATGATTTAGTTTGTATACTATTATTGTTATATGTATACTATATATTAACAAATATACGCTTGTTTAAATTTATGTAGCTGGTATTAAGGGACTACTAGAAGCTAAGCGGCAAGTGTAAACTCATTTTCATGTAAACAAGGTAAACTAACTTTAAACTTAGTTGACAGTTGACGCCAGAGACAATTAATATCACCGTACTTCTACTTTCGTCAAGTACTTTACTTTGTCGTCTTAAATAAGTTAAATAACGTAGTATTCTTAATAGTATTACACTTTTTAACTTCGGTTTATTAATTGCATTACGGAGCAGTGTTGGCCTAGTGGCTTCAGCGTGCGACTCTGATACCTGAGGTCGTAGGTTCGATCCCCGGCTGTGCACCAATGGACTTTCTTTCTATGTGCGCATTTAACATTTGCTCGAACGGTGAAGGAAAACATCGTGAGGAAACCGACATGTCTTAGATCCAAAAAGTCGACAGCGTGTGTCAGGCACTGGAGGCTGATCACCTACTAGCCTATTAGATTTATTTTTAAATCTCATGAAGCAGATTCAGAAATCTGAAGCCAAGACCTAAAGAGGTTGTTGCCACTGATTTATTTTTTATTTTATTAATTGCATTATTATTGTCTATACATTCTTTATTTCTGTAAGACTTAAGGTCGATTCCACCAAACAAGAGTAAATCTTAATCTTAGAATAAATCGTCAGTTAATCGAGAGTAAATCAATTTTACGTTTTACCATCTACAAATTCTAAGAATAGTGGGCCTATTCAGGAATTGTTACTATACCGCCGTTTCGCACGGAATAACAGCTATTCCTAGAATAATGTAATGGCGTCAGTCAGTCCAATCATCTGATTTCTGTCATTTCACAAATATGTATTCTGTGTTTTAATTTCAAGTCAACGCAACGCACTAAATTAATAGTCTGGCAACGTATAAACAATTTATTATTTATTTTTAGTAGTTTATATTCTATATATTAGAATGAAATTCAACTAGGCTCAACAGAAGTTCCTTTTTAAGGTGGGAACTGACCAAAGTTACGAGGTGTAATGTAGCATTCGCATCGAGCGTGTTACGCATCGAGCATGTTACGCTGTGTTCTAAAATCAGTGTAACATGCTCGTCAAAACTCTGTGCTCCACTTTCGCCGCCAGTGTTCACGAGATATGATAGTTATAATGTTGATATCTTTCATTCTATTTAATTATTGTTTCATCGAAATTAAGAAGAAGAAAAAATGTTACTGGACATAAAACTTATTTAAAAACACAGGCGTATGAGGTGGTTTGTTATCGATTGCAATATTAAAAACCAAATGATTACTGGACAGTATAAAAACTTTGTACGCAGGTCTCGATTTTGAAGAACTGTTGAATTTAATTGGACCAAAAGTACTTAAAAAAGACACAATTTATAGAAAATCATAATCATGATGACTCGCGACGTGCGACGCGTAATTACTGAACCGCGTAACAGTCAAAGGATTCGCCAAAAAACCGACAGCCGGGTGGAGCACTCAAAGCGAGCAACGAGCTCGTTGCTCGCTGGTTTCCCCGTAACACGACGTACGGACTGCACGAATGCTCGCTGTGTAACATTACATTACATGTTACATTACACCTCGTAACGTTGGTCAGTTCCCACCTTTAGACGAAAGCCTCAAACAAACAACAAATAAAAATTTTTTGTTGTCGTTTGACACCAGTTGTTTTTATGATTTGGCATTCTGATAAACAATAAACTACTAGCTCCCTCCTTATCAGAATGCCAAATCGTAAAATGACTGCTTCACGACTGATTTGAGCGCGACTGCCGTTGCGAAAACCGCTGTGTGAGTTCGAAAAGTGAGTTACAAAATCGCAAGGCTGTTAAAAGCTACTATTTCACACTATAATACGGCAAAATCGAGTTGACATGATGTATGCTCTTACACTGTCCCGTTGTAGAACAACATTTATTTGCCGAGTTTTAATTTCGTTCACCATTCTCTTTGCTATTCGCGTATTGTTATTCCTAGCGCAATTATACTATCGATTACGTGGAGAAACGACTATGGATTTACTCGAGATTAAAATCATGGAATAGATTATTCCTGGTATAGTTACTCGTGTATAAATTGAAGTTTGGTCGAATCGACCCTTATACACGGAACTTAAATAGTAGAAAAAGCTATGCCGTATTTACACCGTTTGCCTACTGAGAGAAGTTGCGAAGTTCGAAGAAACAACGGTAAAATGTTAAAATTATTTTGATTTCTCTTTAGAAGATAATACGTGCTACCGCGTGTACGTGTGTCGTTACACAACAGATAAAAAAACGCATATAGCTGTTATTTACGAAAACAAAAATGTACACGCTCTAACTATGCTCGCTCTGTCACTGTCAGCTAAGCGGTGGACTGATGAGACAGGGATCCTTGGGCGACGACAAACTGCCGTAAACCTCTGTACGTGGCCCCCTACAATGTTCCCAGCATGTACAGAAAGGTCAGTGCAGGGCGTACTGGAGGAAGATGAAGGAGGCATACTTCCAGAAATGGACCAAAAAAAGAGGCTGATTATAATGATGATGATATGCTCTAAATTAAAAATATGTAATAATACAGATAAAAAATGTGAAAATCTTAAACCATTTGTTATTTAAAATTTAAAATTACCTTTGGGTATTTTATATCATGATGTTTTGTATATTGATGTTCAACGGATCCAGGAATTCCGAAGTTAGGTATTCTCATTATCCGTACATTGGTGTCATCGAATGTGGCGTACGCTAGTCTGTTGCTGTCTTTTGAAAACCAGATGGCGTTATTCGAGGCGAACACTTCCTCTGTGGATAATTGTGTATCGATTAAAAATTGCTTATATAACTGAAGAAATAATGTATATATAAAGTTTCATACTTCTATACAAAACTTCGGTATGCTTTCATACAAAGAGCAGACATATTTCAGTTTTTCTTTCTTTTATGCTTTAAGAATGCTTTAAAGCAGCATTAACCCTCTATATACTCAATGGAGTTCGAAGTTTCTCATTGACAAGCATTTGGTCTTTTAATCCCATTGAATGAAATTTGATTTCAATATTTAATATTGCCGCTGCGAATGCGGAATATCGCGGTAGGCAGTCAATAATCTAGTAGATATCCTGATCGCATTTGAAATTACGTGTATCGACCCTAATAGCCAATCGGCAATTGGGATAGTCTAGCAATCTATCCAAAATTATTTTGTGAACGTCTTTTATGTTTTCGTTGGAAGTAGGTAACAGACTCTTTGGGACGTCTACTGCGTGCATCGTCCTCGGTGCTCATTTCGCCTCGTTTAAACTTAAACAACTATGTCTCAACGGTTTATTTTCCTGGTGCTGGATAATGTTAATTACACACGAAATCCCTTTTTAACAATTTTTTTTCCTTAGTTTCTTCACATAAAATACTATATCTCACAAATCAATAGTACGACACTTGTCATATTCATACGCGTGTCTTTTGAAAGTTAGGGCGAATTAAAAACATATTTATTAAATAATAGTAGCGCCATCTAAGTGTCATCCTCGAGCTTTTCAGCCTATTATGTAATATTTAATATAATTTAGATTTTACTTAGCCTACCTTTTTAGTACATAGCAACATGGAACATTTTGCTATGCTACCCCAGAGACGGTTCGATTTTCTCTATATAAACCTCAGAGTTCAAGTTATAAGTTCTTAACTAACAAATCAAAAATAGGGGTTGATCGTAGAGGGTAGATGAAAAGTAAGGGTTGTACGTATTTTTGTATGTTGTATCATAAAAAAATAAAAACAAAATAAATTGTCTAAAAAAAAGTTTTTTTTTGTGGGTGGACACCCCTTATCACTTAGGAGTTTGAAAGATAGATAGTAGCCGATTCTCAGACTTACTGAATATGCACAAAGAATTTCATAAGAATCGGTCGAGCCGTTTCGGAGGAGTATGGGAACGAACATTGTGACACGAGAATTTTATATATTAGATAAAACTTACCTTCATACACCCAATCAGGAACTCCGTTATAAATAATGCCTTGTTTGCCATTCGTAGATATTTGTACAGGTTCGTTTGTTAAATTTGATTGGTAATACACATTATTTTCATATACAAAAGCGAATCCAGGGCCTGAAGGTGCCCATCTGAAGTTTTGGAGTAACGCTTCAGCGACACCTGGTGGTGTGATTAGGTACTCGTCTTCTGTACGTGTATCTATTACTACGTACTGCGCATAAAAGCTATATCTATATTCCTAAAACAGAAAAAAATATTCGCATTTCAATAACGTTCCTAGAGTAGTGTGTCCCAACGTGGGCCTCGCATCACAGGAGTGCAATTTGCTATTCGAAAATTGAAGTTTTTAATGGTTGTTTTTTTTATATTAAATATTATGTATGTTACATAGAGGCATAAGAATGTAAGAAAGGTTAAAGAGGGGCACAGGGGAACTCTTCCAATAGCCATATCCATTGGTCCATGCCCACTAGGCTGTAAATCAAAGAAAAGCTCCCTGAAAAATCTTCCTATGTTGCCAAAGTTTGTACCCAATTTTATTTTGCGTAGAAGCATTTGGGATGAGGCCCAGGCGGCGGATTTTTGGGAGCGATTATTGCTGTCGCTAATGGGATTAAATTCAAAATAGAAATCCCAATTTTTCTCTATAAAATTTACATTGTAATTTCAATATACGTAGCGATGATGTCGGAACCTTGGGATCGCCAACCAAAACTAATAGTCCGGGAGGTAGCGTTGCTAAAATGCAATTCTACCTACCCGGACTATACTTAGGATCGGGTTCGTTGTCAGTGTCTCTATTGGAAGTTACTGATCTAAGATCTGGCTCTCGAATTTTTCACTTCGATAGATTACAATCTACCGAATAATAATACGTTAAATTGTAAGCAGTACGTTGAGTTCACAATCTTTCGACAGTTCATAATCTCGCGAGATAGATTACAATCTAACGGTGTTTACAATTTTACGGTGACATATACAAACAACCTTTCCAAGAATATAAATAGTATCGTTTAAATACAAATACAATAAATAGTGTCATAGTTAATGGTCTGATTTGACTTAAACAAGACAAACCAAATTACAATGACTTTTGATAATATAATCTATATAATAATTTTTACATACATTAACTTGTGCAAAATCAAAAACTGTACTTACAGTTAATTCGTTAAAAGACAGTGCGATGTATCTTTGATCCCCTGACATTTCATTGAACTGATAAGAATTCAATAAGTACTGGAAAAAATATTTTTAAATAATTATTTTAATCATATATAGTACTACTACTATACTATATACTAGGTAGTACTAAAGATATATATTACAGTGTAATCTCTAAAGGGAGCGTTCAAGTATAACGTCACGCAATTTTTGATGTTTCTTGCCCCCCCCCACATGTAACGCGCCATAACGTTTTTCTGTACTCAATAATATAACGTTTCGTGACCCCCCGTGACTCTTTATACCTAAAAGTTACCATTATGTGGTGTAAACTACTGGAAAGTCGAAAATAATATTAACAATAATGCGTAATCAATCCCCCCCCGCATCGTTAAGTTTTACAAAAGACCCCCTCCCCCCTCCAAAATTCGTTACGTAATACTTAAACGCTCCCAAATGGGCGAAGCGTCTGCGCTTCTGACGTTATAGAAAGTGCTTATATGGAAGGAAAGTTTTTTGGGAGTTTTAAAAATCTAATATATTTCAAGTATTAGGAAAAACATTTATACCTGTGACGCGTTCGATACTACTAATAACGTATCATCTTCATCAACATTATATTTAACAAGGTTTCCATAACTGTTACGCAATAATATTTCGCTACCTGTAAGAAAGATGTATTTTAGTTAAGTTAGACAGGTTAACGGATCTTTTTTACTGTCCGTTGAGTGAACTGACAAAAGTTATATTATTTAGTTTTATTAATTAATTTCTTATGTTTGTTTTTTTGTTTCAGGTGTAAGCTATTGCATAGATTTTATCGCGGGCTTTGAGCGCGGCGACCGAATCAAGAAATTCCGGAACGAAAATAAAAACCTAACACACGATGACGTAATATAGTTGCGGCCAATACGCGTTAGAGCGGGACAGAACGCATACTGCGTATTCACATCTCTCTGACGAGATCAGTGACGTAGCGTAAGCGCGGCCGGTGCTGTCTGAGTCTGGTAGAGTGGTAGATTGAATTAATATCAAAGAAAAATAAATACTGCATAAATAAATAATTATAATTGCATAAGTTGATAAAAATGCTATGCAATAGCTTAACCGCGACAGTCCCCGAGTGCACACGTTTTTTTTTAAATTGGTTATCCATTCTTAGGACAGTGTTAGGACAGTGTTTGTGTTTATGTTTTTAGTAATTTATAAATAAAATAAATGTTGCATTTCGTCATTTTGTGTAGTTCAATAGAAGAATTATATCAGTCCGAATGCATATTTTAATTGTTCAATAAACCCAAAGTATAGTCACAAACATTCCAAAATGCACAGCAGACATCAAAATTTAAAAATTAATTAATTACCAGAAGTCCAAGTGCCGTTGAAATTTGCGGCGGAAAATTGACCGTTTAATATCGCATCCAAATCTATCTCCTGAGGAGGAGTTGGTGTTGGTGGCACTGGTGTTGTAAATGATGGTGTTGTAGTATCCGTGGGATCAGGATCTGGTGATGGCGTTGGTGAAGGCGTTGTCACTGATGTTGGGCCCTGTTGTATAAAGTGTAGAAATACAGTATAGTGGTTCAACTAATGATAGCGTAACGGACTTTGATTTTAAAGAAACATTTTATTATTTTATGTAAAAGGATTTGGGAAGCAAATGGGCAGGAGGCTCACCTGATGTTAAGTGATAACATGAACACTTACATTGCCAGAAGGCTAGCTAGTGCGTTCCCGGCCTTTTAAGACTTGGTACGCTCTATCCTTGAAGGACTCTAAGTCGAAGTGGTTCGGAAATACATACTTCAGTGGGCAGATGGTGCCACATTGTGGCAGTGCGCGGGAAAAACTGCCTTAAGTAGTGGAACGTGAAATATAAAAACTTTTTACAACATTACAAAGTACCTACTGTATATACCACTTATATTGACTTAAAGTCCTATTTCCCACTTGGGGGAAATAGGGCGGAGGGCATTCAGTTTATACCACTAACACTCAAATATAATATATATTTTGTGTAATGAGGAGGTAAGACTTCTTTCAAAACACGATTTTTGTATAAAAAGGCGGTAGACGTAAAATGAGTGTGCTGATTGAGAACAAATATAGAATTATAATAAGTATTGTGTGTAATGTGTATTGTAGTTATTTACTTCACTTGTTACCTTAGAGAAATAGTTAAGGGTACCTTAAATTTTGAAACATTAATTCTGTAAGAATATACAAGTATTAAAACTATTCTTAATATTTAAAGGTGTTTCAAATGTCAATTATTTTACTTCTTTTTTTTTTAATTTTTACGATCTGCAATCAGCCTCTTGGCTTTTATCACATTTTATGTATGAATTTTTAACTCCTTTTTGTATTTCGCTAATCGTGCATATATTAAGGACGACACCGTGGATTTTTGGCCCCTACGAAATTTTAGTCTATAGCTACGAGCACCTGTTAATTGCACACATAAATCAAATTAAAATTACACAGTTAAATCCAGTACATCTAGCCCACCCAAGATTCGAACGACCGACCTCGGCTGATCACAAAACAGATACACAAATCTGAGGCCCAGACCTAAAATGTTATAGCGCCATTGTTTTTTAACCGCGGTATGTAACTCACAACGCAACTTTTATTATAAATAAATTTGTTTAAAAAACCCTACCTGCGGTGTAGTGGTGGTATCGGCGCCTCCTACATCGGCTGCAAACACCACTATAAGTGTGACAACCACCGCGATTACTGCCACCATTGCGATGAAACCTATTCCATATACAAGTTTCTTGGACTTCTTGGCAGCAACCAGGACCTATGATAAAGATAATAGATAAAAGTGTTTTAAAAAAGATCTCTGTGTTTTTAAGTTACTAAGTGGCAAGCCAAAATAACCACATTTTATAAACAAACTAGCTGCCCCCGAGAACTTCGTTTCTCCTTAATCCCTAGCCTACCTTTTTAGTACATACCAAGATGGAACATTTTGCTTTCTATCCCAGAGACTGTTCAGTTTTCCGGAATGAAAACTTTAAAGTTTTTCTGTGATATTTCTCTATATAAACCTCAGAGTTCAAGTTATAAGTTCTTAACTAACAAATAAAAAATAAGGGTTGACCGTAGAGGGTAGATGAAAATTAAGGGTTGTTTTTTTTTGTTTTTGTATAAAAAAATAAAAACAAAAAAAATTGTCTAAAAAATAAAAATATTTTTTTGGGGTGGACACCCCGTATCACTTAGGTGTTCGAAAGATAGATAGTAGCCGATTCTCATACTTACTGAATGTGCATACAGAATTTCATAAGAATCGGTCGAACCGTTTCGGAGGAGTATGGGAACGAACATTGTGACACGAGAATTTTATAAAAAACAAAAATTGTTTGTATGGGCATTAATTATTTAAACTGAAATGACGTCATCTAGGAGAAAATCACACCCAAAATAAGATTAAGATAAAAGGAGATGGACCATTTATAAAATGTCTAATTCCGTTTCTATTAAGTTTATCTTTTGTTACAGACTTCTAAATCAAGTAAAAATTGAGTAGAAAATGTTAAAGAACTTACGTATACGCTCTCAGTACATGAACTCTTCACTTCTCATAATCCACTAAGTACAATATTTTTACAATAAATTCTAGTGACAATCAGATGTATCACTTATCACACAAGGTTATCGGTACTTGACTTACAATAGAAAATGTAATAAAAATATCAATAGATTTGTTCTAATAGTTGCTTTTGATTTTTGCATGCTTCATCCTACATATTAATAAATTTTGCATTTTAATCGCTTTTACGTAATATAATATTATTTTCATAAAATTACGACTGTATTAGACATTTCAACGTATGTTTCATAGATCCCCTTTATTGTTGGTCAGTCTTCTTTGAGTTAGAACCGTTTTTTACATCCGCATTTATAACAGCCAATGTTTATTTATCGATTATTATCGGTTGGTTTCATCTTAAGACACTATCTTAAATCTTTACAGCGAAATTAGAGAATTATCACTAAATAAATTCAAAGCCCTCGTTAAACGGAAATTAATCAATAAAGCTTTTTATAAATTTGAGGAATACTTAAATGATCCTAATCCTTGGCATTGATTTGCTCCAGTTCAAACAATTTATATGACAATACTTGGCGATTAAAAAGAGTGGCGGAAAGTTTCTTGCCAGTTCTTCTTACCCGCTCTACGGCCTTGACTTGCGAACTGGTAGTAAATGTAAATTTACAATTAATTTAACTTGACAATTCATAAGTGTAATTGTTTAGCTACATGAATAAAAATATTTTGAGTTTGAGTTTGAGTTACAATCGGGACTCTTTGTCTGATAACAGTGAACTTGGAGTTGTCTTGGCGTAAATGAGGTTTAATCAGTGTTCATAGTAATTTTTAACCTGTATAAAGTAAAGGTATGCTTCGCTGAATCAAACCATGTATGTATCGAATATAACAGCACTTGACCGTTTCAGTCAGGTCGCTACATTTAAAAACTTTAAAATATACTGAATTCATGCTCTGACCTGGTCACTGGTGCCCATTTCTATACTGGATCCCTCCTGAGCCATCTTGGTAACTTTTTACCTAAAACAAATACAAAATTAGTAACTTCCTTAGTAGTCCATTGAAATGTTTTATTTGTTGATCATTTGTTAGAGGACGCAATTTTATTTATGGAACATATAGGGGGGGTCAATACAAGCTTTAACCCAAATTTGTGGAGTTGGCGCACACATTACACATTATAAATTTGAAAAATACCTATGTTATTTCAAACAACAAAAAGCAGAGGATGATCATACAATTCATGAACATAATGAGGAAAAATTTAATTATAATAAATATCTACTACTGAAATGGCATGCGTATTTATTATAAAATATGATATATTGGGGAATTATGTTTTTGTTAGACATGCCTAATTAATTTATTGAATATCATTGAACATTGTTTGTGCAATTATTTGTAGGTTCACTGAAATCTTCAACGAATAAAAGTCGTTAATCTATAGCAAATTATAAACTCGATATCTACGAAGTCGGTAGAAGGGCATTGCCGTCTTGTTTATCATCTCCGTCGATATTTTAATAATTTATTTATAATCACACTTTCTAAACTCAAAATACCCCAAAATATCCGAAACATAGACATAGTAGATACATATTGACTTTTATAGGTTCTTAACTATTATTTGGACATTTCGATACAAAAAAGTTGAACAAAAGTAACTTTTTTAGAATCCCTTATTCTGTCATAGTTGGAAGGCGCAACTGTCAAATTTCGGTTCAGCCGAGCGGTCATGGTACGAATTTTCATACAAATTGAACAAACGAAATCTGAAACCGCTAAGGTCACGTGGGAACATAAACTGTCTCGTTTTTTCGATGTCATGGTACGAATTAGCGATGCATCTCAGTTGTAGGTTGTCAATAGGCTCGCAATAAGAGTTTATGGTAGACCCCCAGTGCGTTATTGGTTCCAACGTTTCTGTTCTGGAAAATAGGGGGCAGTCGAAACCGCCTTCAAAGATTTTATTGATTCCCGTCCAAATGGTTTATTTAGTAAAGGGATCTATGAACTACCTATAAGGTGACAAAAGTGCATACTTTGACTACTCTCTTGTTCCTCATACAAAACGCCAATTTCATATGTAAGGATAAGGGTCTACTCACACTTATTCAGCTCTATTCAGCGTTTGTCGATAGAAAACAACGATTTTGTCGTACGCATCCATTCAGCTTTCCGCGTCAATTCAGCTTTCGCGGCAAATCAGTATAAAATGAGAATAAATATGTTTTTATCATGCGTCTGCTATAGAATGCATTCAGCGCTGTTCCGCCGCATTCAACGTCGCACGCTATGATGGCTTTTCTCATTCTTACGACGCCGTACACGGCTGATAGAAGCAGAGCTGAATAAATGTGACCAAAATCGTTCAGCGAAACGCGAATGTAGCTGAATAAGTGTGTTTAGTCCCTAATACGTAATATATAAAACATTCACGTCGAGTCACGTTTTATTATTTATATTTCCTGTAATAATGTTATCTTTTTTTTAGTTTCACTTCTTGCAAAAATGATTTTATGAATTGTAAACAAACTAAATTTTGATGTTAAAAATGCGGTCTCAATCAATTATTAACGAAATTTACGTAAAATATTGTCTTAATTTGTTTAACTAACTTTGACTCTGTGTGTTTAACTGTCCTCAGTGTTACAAGATCGGGGATATCTCTTATTACTCTATAGCAGACACTGATGAATTATAGACGTAAACTAATTTTAACCGACATCAACCCGATTTTAAAATCAGCGTCAAATGGTGAATTCTCTTGAAATGCAATCTAATTGTTTTAATAACTAACGTTCAACAAGTAAATCTAACAAAAGTTTAATATAATTCATAATTTTCTAAGCTGTACTAAAAAAAAATAACACACTAAAATACATTTAAAAAGTTCGGGCCCCGTGGTGTAGAGTCAATATTTCCAGGTCTGTATTGTTTTTTTATTATCTTATAAATAATATTACAATATCAAAAAGCAATATAAATTTGTAATTTTAAGAACTATTTGTAGTCGATTATATATTTATTTAATTTATATATGAAAATTCATAAACGTATGTAGTATGCGGCCAATGATAGCGCAATCGTTATAAGCTGGTTTAAGTGTAATTTACCAACATATTATATGCAATGATACAATAAAGTTGTAAAGATTACATTTAAATTTATCTCTTATCAACAAACGATAAAATAGTTATAAAATATTTCGTGATAAATAAACACGTTGTTGCAGTTAAGAACATAATCATAGTTAAAATACTTTTAAATAGTAATATTATAAAATAAAATTACGTATAAAATCTATTAATGAGAACCTTATTTAATTTTCCGGTAAAATGGATTGATAGGTGCAGAATGCCAATCAGATTAAAATATTATAACTAACACGCTTATTATGTCTACGTGATACTAAATTACTGAAACAATTCTAAAGTTATCTAACAATGATGGACGTATTTGTCGTTATTAATTGTGCATTATGCGTATTTTCCGTCTTCACAGGAATTTGTATATACATATTATTATATTTCGCATATATAGCATAATGTGTATTTGTACACACATTATGGTATATAAGGTCTATATTGTGAGATACTTACCCTTTGAATACAACAACCAAACCGGCCAAAGGCCGATTTTTCACAAAACTGAGCTCTAAGCTATGTTACTGGATATTTAGATTATAATATCTTTATGGTAGATAATAAATTAATAATCGTATTTTGAAGGCAAAGATAAAAGCCCCTCAATTATTTGATTCAGATAAAACTTGATAATTATATTTTTTTAATTTATTTGGTTATTTAATGAATGATGTATAGAATATTTAATAATAACTTAAAAATAAAATATTTATATTTCGTTTATAGAATACAAGAAACGTACCGAAAGTTCGAAAACGAAAACTCTAAGAAATTAATTTTGTGAATCAAACGTAAGAAAGATTGGTTGAGCTTTCATTTCCGCTGTGATGCCACAGGGATGGAAGTACGTCCCTTATTACAATTTCCGCCCTTTGATTTTTACTAACCTCTTCAGCCTCATTTTATAACTGATAATAATGCCAAAGGTAAGCGAAGTTTGATGTATCAAAAGCCTATTGAAATATAAAATATTCATTGTCTCCTGCCTGTTGTTAGAATACTCCAATGAATAATGATAATTTATTTAAAATTATGAATTTAGTTTGATGGCGTTTACGGGAATTGGAAGTTATTTATTTTTTTATTTAAGAAATTATTAGTACATCCGCCCATATCAGAGAATTATTTTTATAAATAGTAATATAATTATTATTTATCTATTTAGGCAGACAATCTATAAGACCATATGGTTATTATAGTTAAAATATTGTTCTAAATATTATATTAGTATGTTTAGCTTTAAATGATTAAATATGCGAACCGAAAATTACTGCCACAACTATATAAACCTTGATTAAATCTTAATGTTAAGTCAATTGGGGAAAATATAAATGAATACACTTTTTTTGTAATATGACTTGCAATATTATATACATTAGAATGGCAAACCACCTTTTACAGAAGCATAATATAAGCAAAACTAAAGGCTTCATTTTAAATGGCTTTATCAATTACTCTTAAACCCCCTTTTTTTAAATTAACTTATTTTACATAATAATATTATAAAATCATGATATGTTACATTAGAAAACCAATGTGGTTTGTATAAATGTAACCATAGCAGTCTTGTTTATGAGCGCGACAAATGCATATAAAAGTAGTTTTTTTTAATTACTTTTTATGTTGGTTAGCGCTAGGCTATCTACTGACTGGGTAGTCCATTTATTAGCCACGGTAGCAAATACCTCAACGTTCTCTCGTCATAATATATTAGGTCCTTACATATGAAATTGGCGTATTTCGTACTGGCCACTTTAATCACGATGTTCTCCTCTTTGGTAAGGAATTCCAAATTCAAATTTGTACAGCTATTTACTCATGTATTTGTGCTTCGATGACCGTCATTCATTTGTTTTACTTAAAGTATAATGCGATACTTTAAGTAACGAGTACGAGTTCCGCCGTGGCACTAGTGCTGCGGAAACGACTCGAAGGGTGAATGATGTGTATGGCGGTCATGTTGAAAAAGAAAACACAGTTCGTTTTTGGTCCCAACGTTTTTGTTCTGGAAATTTCGACCTGCAGAACAAGCCCCGTGGACGGCCTGAGACCCAAGTTGATAATGAAGTATTGTGGAAGCGGATCCATCGCAAACCACGTCCGAGTTAGCTGCAGGCTGCGGTGTTAGTGATAAAACTGTTTTAATTCACTTGAAGCAAATTGGGAAGATTAAAAGCTTGAAAGATGGGTACCTCACGAATTGACTGAAGCAAACCGGCAAACGCGCGTCGACTGCTGCGTTACATTACTGAACCGGCACAATAATGAAGGTATTTTAAACCGAATCATTACCTGTGATGAAAAATGGATTCTTTACGATAATGGGAAGCGCTCAGCGCAATGGTTGGATCCTGGCCAGCCAGCCAAATCCTGCCCCAAGCGAAAATTAACCCCAAAAAACTTACTTGTAAGCGTTTGGTGGACTAGTGCCGGTATTGTTCATTGCAGTTTTCTCCAATCTGGCCAGACTATTACGGCTAATGTCTATTGTCAGCAATTGCAAACCATGATTTTCCAGCGGCTAAACAACCTAGGCTGGTCAATCGCTCCACGCCACTGCTACTTCACGACAACGCTAGACCACACACTGCACAACAGACGGCTACCAAATTAGAAGAGCTTCAATTGGAATGTCTGAGACATCCTCCGTACTCCCCGGACCTTGCTCCAACAGATTACCATTTTTTTCGAAATTTGGACAACTTCTTGCAAGGGAAAAAATTTAACTCTGATGGGGCAGTCCAAATCGCCTTCACAGATTTTATTGATTCCCGTCCGCCTGTTTTTTTTAGTAAAGGGATCAATGAACTACCTATGAGATGGCAAAAGTGCATAGAAAACAATGGTTCATACTTTGA